TAAAAGGAGACAAACAGTAGCTAAATATTCTTCAATTTGAGATAGACAAACTTAGTCATATTTTAATTAGAAAAATACAATATCAAAATACTAACAAATCGTGTATGGATGCGATAATTTTGTGAGTCCGTGTATGATTTTGATTAAAAAAAAAAAAAAGATGTATGCTTTTGATACAAGGAATAAAATTACCATTCACGTAATAAACATGTCCAATTTTAACCACAACATGCAACGTTGGAACTTCGTTTGCTATGTGGATTATTCTGTTAGTTTTGACGACATGTTAATTCATCTATGGATGAAATACAAATTTTTGAGTTTATGTATGAATTTGGTACAAAGTTGAGTTCATGTATGAATTTGATACAAAGTTGAGTTCATATATGATTTTAGAACTCGGATAAATTGCTTGCATCGTTCATGTATAATGTATTTAGCGTGTTGTTTCTCATTAAGATTGCTCAAAGAATAATACTATGTAAATAGATGAAAAAATTTGTTAATTACTTGACACATGAAATATCAAATAATTAAAAAAAAAAAAAAAAACCACATTTGGTATGAACCCGAGGATTCATTTGATAGATCTTTTAAAAAGTTAAGTTTTATTTTAGAAGTTGTTTTATATGTTTAGATGATTTTTTGAAAGTGTTTTTTCTGGATAAAAATATTTTAGATGAAGCTAACCTAAGGTTGCTTGCTCTTGTAGAAGAAGTAAAATAATAAAAAAAAAAAAGTCATGTCAAACGATCCTTAAAAATGTAATGAAAGAAGATATTGAACTATTTTTAGAAGACTTTCAAAGGAGGAGGTATACATTAAAACTAGCACGAGTTAATATGGCCTCAAAGGAGCTAGTAGCGTTTTAAGTATATGTAGCAATTCGACTCAGTTGAATGGAATGATAAAAAATGATTTATGTAACTATTCTTCTTCGCTTCGTTGAGTTGGGTGGAACGTTTTACCAGCAACAAGAGTCTCTTTCTGATCTTGCTCCCTTTTCCTGAAGGGCAAACTATATCCCAATATAATTTTATATGTTGTGATTATAAAATTTTAGTTACAAGTGTAGTATTCTAATTGGAAATTACAAAAATATAGAATTAAGAATAACCAAACTTCTAGGTTAGCAATATTGCGAACAGAAAATGTCAATGACTATTCAAATTTTTACTACGCATTCTCCAAAAAAAATTACTATTCAAATTTTTTTTCCTAAAAATAACGGCCATCAAACAATGGCTTAATTAAAGTAAAATTGTCCTATTGAGGTACAATCAACCAGTCTTAAACTTCAATTTTTAATTAATATTCTTTTACAAATTTGGCCATGTATTATTGATAAAATATATTATTTTATGCAAAAAAAATTCTTAGCTCCGTTTGGTTTGAATGAAAATTAAATTTACGTAATTACCAGCTGATTTGTGAAATAAAAATTAATCCACCTGATTTTTGAAAATGAAACTGTAAAAGTAGGTTTCTAGGTAATTTTCTCTACATTAAAACTAGCACGAGTTATTATGGCCTCAAAGGAGCTAGTAGCGTTTTAAGTATCTGTAGCAATTCGACTCAATTGAATGGAATGATAAAAAAAGATTTATGTAACTATTCTTCTTCGCTTCGTTGAGTTGGGTGGAACGTTCCACCAGCAACAAGAGTCTCTTTCTGATCTTGCTCCCTTTCCTGAAGGGCAAGCTATATCCCAATATAATTTTATATGTTGTGATTATAAAATTTTAGTTACAAGAGTGTAGTATTCTAATTGGAAATTACAAAAATATAGAATTAAGAATAACCAAACTTCTAGGCTAGCAATATTGCGAACAGAAAATGTCAATGACTGTTCAAATTTTTACTACGCATTCTCCAAAAAAAAATTACTATTCAAATTTTTTTTTCCTAAAAATAACGGCCATCAAACAATGGCTTAATTAAAGTAAAATTGTCCCATTGAGGTACAATCAACCAATCTTAAACTTCAATTTTTAATTAATATTCTTTTACAAATTTGGCCATGTATTATTGATAAAATATATTATTTTATGCAAAAAAAATTCTTAGCTCTGTTTGGTTTGAATGAAAATTAAATTTTTATAAAAATTGATGAAACGTGTGATTAAAAGTTGTGAATTTTATAAAATATATGGTTAATTAATTGCTTACAGAAATTTTAATTCATAATTTTTAGCCGAATAAAAAATGGCTTAATATTTTTTCATTATAATGAATAAAATTTTTACTTAGTTATTGACTTATTGTAAACAGGACAACCCGGTAACCCTACCCGAGAAGGAAATCCGGGTATGATTGACACGTGTTGGATACCTACTTGCGTACTGAAGTCTAAAACAGATCAACAAGCAAACCTTTGAGAAGCAAATCTTCTCTTGAAACCAAAAAAAAAAAAAGCAAATTGAAGTTATAACATAATCAAATTATATTGCAAAGTGCCGAAAAAAAAAATCTTGGTAAGAGAAAAGAAGAAGAAACATTGAAATTCAGACTAGGGTTTTGAGAAGAGAGAATAATTCAAATTAATCTTTTGATGTTTTATTTTTTAAGGAAAGAGAAAAAGGAATGCGGATTTATATATAGTAAAAATTGGAGCTCTTGATTGAGGTGAATTGAAGAGGTGGAGCTTGGATTTGGAACTTTTTTCTTACTAAAGAGGTAAATTTTATTTTCTATGTTTGGGAAGTTTTAATTTCTATTATACTTTTTGCTATATGCTATGACTGTGTTGAGGATTTAAGCGTTTTTAATTTGATATCTTGCTGCATTAATTGCTGTAATTTTAACCTAATCTTTGGTATATGTCTCATATTTAAAACGTATATACACATCAGACTTCACGCTAACTCTGACGCCAAGGTAAAAATTGTTATTTAGGGTTTCGGAATAATATTTTGGTCCTTTGCTCTTTAAAATTTCCGATTTTCCGGGGTAGAAATTTTTTTGTTTTTTTCAGTCTTGTGGCTGTGGCGAAACCCTAGATCGGTTTCTTTGATTTCTGCTGATTTTTGTGAATTGGTGGGTTTTAGTTTATTCATATGCAGTTTCTCCTTTGAGCTTTTTATTTCAGCTGTTTCATATGTGAATTAATTAATGATTCAATTTAGACTTGTTTGGCGATTTTGATTAAAATAAATCCAGTTTGTTATTGCTGATCAGTAGGGCCTTGAGAAAACGGTAAAGTTTACAACTGTTTGCATAAATATAATTATTCCAATTTTGAAGTGAACATTTCTCTGTTAGTTAATTGATTTGTGCAAGGTTTCCATATCTTAATGAGTAACCAAGGGAATTTTTTGCTTCCGTTTTACTGTAAATCTTTGAATATACGATTGAATTTGTCTTATTTATAATTTCAGTGGTAGCTTCTAATTGATTGCTTTTCCTAAAAGACCATAGTTTCTTCTGTACTATTGGAATATGTAATTTGTGCGCTTCAGTTCATGCAGAGTATTGTTTCTGAATAAATGTGTGCTTGTTTGTTTCTTTGTTTCTTATGTTGTTTTATATGCCCAGAGCACGCTTTTAATATCTGTTAACTTGATTCAGGCTAGTTTTAAAAATCTGCTGTGCTTGCCCTCCCTTTCCTATAGCATTGTGAGAAACAATGAGAGGAGGGTAATGGAATGAATTTCTTTAATATGTTATAGTGGTTATGCCTATAAACGATATTTTGGGCAAGTGTGTTTGTAAAAGTTCCATTCTAGGAAAGAGATCATCACTTTTAAGTGGGACCGAGGTTGTAACTGATAAGTAGTAGCCTAATTAAGGTGGCCATGTGTTAGTAAATGTATTTTTGACACGTTTCCCTTGACGTCTAAGAATTATGACCATTATGGACGGACTCTCTTAAATGTCCGAGTGTTTGTTCACAAACTTGAATTTAGTTACATATTTCAAGCCTTGCCATGTGTTTGGTAAATTAAAGGTTTGGTCCACCAATTTTCATTTTTCTCTGACAACTTCAGTTTTGTAAAACTCATGTTTACACAGCTTTGCTGCTTTGAATATTCTTTAATAGGGTGATTTACTTTGTTGCATAATTTGAGTTTGTAATATTTCTAAACTAAAAAAGTGGTGCAACCTTTTTTCACATGATTTACTCTTTCTTAATGAGCAAAAAGGCAAGTTGAGAGGGGGAAGAGTAGACTAAAAACTAACTTATCCTCTGATAGTTGAGTTGCTATGGATACTTTAGGTCTTTCATTAGATCTGGCAACAAACAAAATTGTTTGACAAATAAGGATTCATCTAGCCGATCCAAATTTAATGAGAATATGGCTTTAGTTTGTTGTTCTCTTTATTGGCAAAAGAATAAAATTTATCATGGCTATCTGCTTCAATTTACCAAAAAATGGGCATCGTGATTTGATTTTTAACTGCTCTAGTTAATTAATATTGATGTTTATTTCTATTGCTATCCCAATCGCTCCTCCCAGAAGTTTGCTGATACCATGCATGGTATAATGCTACAGCATCCGAGCATCCCCCTAGGCACCACCATCTGTTGTCCCTTTTAAAATTTCTTTTCAGCTACGAATTTACAAGAATCAGCACTGAGATGGGAGGAAGGGGGAGAGGGAGGTTGGATATATATTTTGCCCGCAACCCCCCTCCACCAGACACACACAACCTCAATTAACCAAATAAGTAAACAATAAGCTAATAAAAACATTCTATCTGAAGAAAGGAGTTTATATTGTGTTTCTTCTGTTTTATTTTTTCTCTCCCTTTTTTGGTTTTTAGTGCGAGAGAGAATGGTTATCATCTAGCATTAATTGATTCCTTCAATGGACTTTTTCTTCAGTTGGATTGGAAACCCTACACTCCAATGACTTGGTTAAGATTAAGGAAAAACTGTCTTAACCTTTTATCAACATGTTGTTTTGCAGGCAGCGGTGCCGAAAGGTTGAAAAAAAATGCAACAGCATTTTACAAGGACAAGTTTGTATTTTTGAAGTCCCAACTTGTGATCTATTAAGATGCTTGAGGACTTCTTCACCTTGACGGAGATGAATAATGGGCTAACAGCCCCCATTCATGTCAGGGAACTCCTGGCTCTAATGGAGAAAGAGAGAGACTATATTGCAAAGAATGTTGGCGATGCAACCAGACAATGGTCCATAGTTGCCAAGGCTATAGCTACCACCGAGAATAAGGACTGTCTTGATCTTTTTGTTCAGTTAGATGGACTCCAACTCATGGATATATGGTTAAAAGATGCTCAGAAATTCAGCAACGACACGAATGACAGCTCTGTGGAAGAGTCTATCACTCATTTACTCGGAGCACTTGAAAAGCTGCATGTAGACAACGTGAAATTGGTTTCTTGTGGAATCTGGACGACTGTTGAGAATCTTCTTGGCCATAATAGTCCCAAGGTACAGCTTAGGGCCAAAACACTGTTTGACAGCTGGAAAAAAGATGGATACAATGGTGCATCTTCCCAGAATGTTAAAATAGTTGGGGAATCAACTGATGGTGAAATTAGAGTAAGTGCAGATATCAAGGGAGATTCTGGCCATAAAGAATCTTCTTTGGGAGATGCTTCTTTATCCAGAGAGAGTTCTGATGAAGAAAAACATCAAAAATCAACCAGAGATGACCCGTCGCCATCTAGACGTTTTGATGCCCTGCAAGCTAACAAGGTTGAAGATGCCTTAGCTTCCGAAATGCCTTTGGGCCAACCAACTTCGAGTGATACACCTTTAGATCGTGTCATCTCACCTTCCTTCTCAAAAGCTGCTAATGAAAATATTTCTGATACGGTAGATCCTCTATGTATTTCAAAAGGATCTACCTCGACTGAATCCTTTAGTTTTACAGTTCAAAGGCAAGATAGGGGTGATGGACGGACAGATTTTCAGGAGTCGGAGTTTGCTTGTGAAATAAAGCAACCCTCAAGCTTTAGTAGTTCTCCCGATAAACTAGGCCCGATTGAAGAATCAAAACTATTAGAAAATGGAGCTTTTCCTTCACGTTCTGGTGCAGGAATTGGGTTGAATTCGGTGACTGAACCTAGTTTACAGAAACTTGCTGATGCTTCAGACAGAGATTCTTGCCAGAAAGGTTCCTCTTTTGACGACTTGAAGACAATTGACTCTGGTGGGGGTACTGTGGATGATGGAGGATGTGCAGATGAACACAGAATTAAAGAAGGCGGTAACTGTAAGTCTGATGATGATGAGCGAAGTAGGGAAAATATTAAGGATTCCAGAACATTTTTATCAATGACCGAGGATGCTGTAGGGGTAGACAAACCTGACCAGCATGTTACTGGTCAAAGTGACGATGATCTGGCAAATGATTATAATTTTGTGAAACGTGAAATGGATAGAGATACTGTCGAGATTTACAAGAAGTCTGATATTGAACTGGAGTATGGAATTGTAGATCCGCTGGAACTTGCACAGCAAGCTACCTTAGACATGAAGAGAGAAGTAGATTTCAGAGAACACAGTTTCAGTTCACGTGAGAAAGTGCAGGAAGATGAAATACAGCAACCAGATAGCCCAGACACTGTAAGTAGAAAAGAATCACATGCCTGTGAGGGCCCACGTAATGAGGAAACTGAGCCCGCTCAGTCCGCAGAAGCATCACCTATCCGAGAAGAGTCTGAGCTAGATGCTGATGAGAAAAATGGAACACAAGATATGGAAACCTCTTTGATAACTAAGGTGGCTCCAGAAGAAGTCAATACAGAGAAAGGCTTGTGTAATTTTGATCTGAACCTAGAACTTTGTTCAGAAGATACATACAGTGCAAGAAATCAAAATTCCACGCCTGTGTCTGTTGTTTCTGCTTCAAGGGTAACAGCATATCCTGGATTACCCGTTGCTCCATTGCAATTTGAGGGCACTCTTGGATGGAAAGGTTCCGCTGCAACAAGTGCTTTCCATCCAGCATCGCCTCGCCACATACATGAAGGTGATAAAGGAAAGAAACCACAAGGATGTTTTGAAATTGATCTGAATGTAGCTGAAAGTGAAGACGGCAAAGGAAACCTACTACCAGATAGACGGGGTCCCAAATATTCAGCTCTTCCTTCCAGGGAATCTTTGGCAGAAGCAAGTTCAATCTCGGAACACCTTGAATTGGATCTTAATCGTGCAAGTGCAGATGGTGATGTTCCATCAGATTGGCGGTCCAGTGGACAGCTCTTTCCCCTTAGGAATGGCCATCACATTGAATCTCATTCTTCTTTGTCATCAAAGCAGCCTTCTTTAAGGAATTTTGATCTGAATGACCAGCCGGCTTTTCTCAACAATTCATTGGATCATTCCTATTTTAGCAAGTCACCCAATTATTCGAATACTTTCGGAGGTATTAAATTGCACGACTCTGTAATATCCATCATGGGCACAAAGGTGGATGTCAATCATAAAGATTTCATTCCTGAAGCTCTTCCCTTGCTTGATGGAAGGACTCCGGAGCTTGCATTGGACATTAATTTGGGAAGATCAGGGAGTGTTCCTAGAAGTGGATCTGTACTTTATGATATTCCTACTGTCTACAGTTACAATGATCATGCTCCAAGGCCTCCTACGCCTTTCACATCCATGATGTACGGGCCAGGTGTGCCCATTCCATACATGGTGGATTCTAGAGGACTTGTCCCTCAGATTGTGGACCCTGCTTCAGCTCAACAGCCTGCTTTCTTAACCATGGCAGGTTCAACTTCTTTAAATGGAGGCGGGCCTTCACGAAATAGTTTTGATCTTAACTCTGGGTTGACGTTGGAGGGAGAGAGTCATGATCCTGCAGGCTTGAGACAGTTCTTCAGTTCAGGTCAATCGAGCTCCAATACTAGTTCAGTTGGCGAAAAACGTAAAGAACCAGAACCAGAGACCGGGTGTGAACATAATCCCCCCTTTAAGCACCATACACCACCATGGAAATAGAGGGTTTACTTTCTTGGAATCAGATTAGGATCTATCAGAAAAGGCTAGTGGTTTTGTAGCCATAGTTAAAATCCAAGAACATTATGATCAAATTGACTTAGTTAAAGGGGGAGTGATAGAACTAAATAATGATGGGAATTATGAATGTAACTTGATTCTTGAGATTAATTACCAGAGAAAAATAGATTCAAGGTTTTATTTGTTTTTAAATGTTTTAAATTTGTTGATTATTTTACGTTTTATAGGAAGTCCTCTTGCTACCTCAGGAAACTTGCTACATATATCGCTGTAATTTCTTATCTATGTAAATATAAATTACAGAGGAGCGTGCTCGTATATGTCGTGATGTTTGTTATGTATCGTTGAAAATTATCTGCCTTGCAAGTTTCAAGTTCGATAAATTTTAGTGCTTTGTTCAATTTACTGCAAATTTGAAGGAAATCGAATGCTCATTTAGATCACCTGTATCCATGGCCATCCTGGGGTACAAAAATGTCCTCGTATCTTTGCGAGGACACAACTTAAGATGAAATCAAAGAGCTAGGATCAAACTCTTTAGGAATCCAATTTAATGTGTGATATTGAAATCATCTGTTAGTGTTTTAATTTGACGTAGTACAGATTTTGTGTAGGGAAAATTGCAGCTGCGGTCCCAAACCTTTTCATTTTTTGCAGACTTTACTTCAACATTCACTTTGTGTCACCACAAATCCCATGCCTTTGATAAATTCGTAGATAAAGTCCAAAAATGACGGAAAACGTTAGTTCCACCGTCAGTTGACCTCGAAAATGGAAAAAATGCAAATTTTGACCAATTTAAACATGGACATTTTCATCCATTCCAATTTCCCCCTTTATTAAATAAAGTCATTTCGTCAGTTATAATATCACTCCCTCTCCATTCTCCTTTACGGTTTGAACACATAGGTCATCTTCTACAATGTGGAACGAAGATAGCCAACAATCCGATGAAATTCAAGAAGATTTTGCGTGTCACATACGAGGCCGTCTTTCCGAACCCTTATGGTAAGTTTTCAATTTTTTTTCAAAATTTCTTGTTGTAGACATGTTTAACTCACAGTGGGTTATCAACTGTAATCATATTAGTGCATATTTCCACAATTTTAAGCATGTTATTGAGTTGGAATCATAAAATTTTCCCTATTTATTCGCGTTGATTTTGCATTCATATTGTTCGACTAGGGTTTGTTGATGGCGGGTTTCTAATATGAATTTTTTTTTTTTGTCCAAGAAGAAATTCAAGCTATTTCACCATAAAGCTTCATCACGGCGGAGTATTTTCCGAAAAGATACGAAATATTGTGTACGAGCATGGGAAGATAGCCTATTTAGACTACGTGCACCCTGATTGGTTTAATAGATTTTTCCTTAACAATGCTATGAAGATACTAGGCTATTTTGAGAAAATAAGGTATGTGTATAAGATTGAAAAGAGGAGATTGAGTGAGGTATCGTTCTAGCTGGTGAAAGATGCAGACTTTATGAATGTAGGTAGGTTGCTTGGTGAGAAGAGGCTTGCTGAGATATGGTGTGTGCCCGTGGTTGAAGTGTTGGAATTGCCATGGGACGACAAAGTAGGGCATGATATTTCGGTGGCTGATGTTGACACTGGTGAGGTGTTGGGTGAGGTGGAAAAAAGGGAAACAAGATGTTGACAAAAAGTTTGGGTATAATGTATACTATGTAGTGGAGGTTTATGATGAGTTTCTGGAGGGTGATAAACATGTATATTGTTGATGAGGTTGACAACAATAGTGATGCTGACCAAATAGAAGTGGATGCAGGGAGTTCTGTGTCACCTCAATGGTGTGCACATGTTACAGATCATAATGAAGAGGCACATGGTACAAATCACAATGAGTCACCTATGTCACCTCAACTTGATGCACCTGCTAAAGTACTACATGATGCACCTGCTGATGCATCATGTGTTGATGAAGCCCCTGCTGAAGTCCAACATGATGCAGTAGGTATTGATGAAGCCCTTGCTACTTCACCCCATGTTGATACACCACCAGCAGATGCACCTCCTTCCCCTGCAGAAGAGCATGTACCTATAGAAGATCATGCACCCCCTGCAGATGCACCATGGGATGATGCACCTGATGTTGTTGAAAATGTTGGGATGGAATTTGAGGAAGGCATAGTGGAGGACTTCAGTATTCAAATTACGAGTAGGAGGAAGATGTGTCGGTGATGAGAATGATGAAGATACATATTTCAGGTTGTCTGAGGGTTTTGATATTGGTGATGAAAATCCGGGGACATAACATGAGGGTGGAGCAGGGCAGGTAGATGGTGATGAAATAGACTATGATGAGTCAGACGATTTTAGAAATATTTCAAGTGATGCCGAAGAAGTTGGTGGCTCTTCAAGAGCCAGGAATGAGCCTTGGTTTAATCCCACTATAGACATGCAAGATCTACAATTCTGAATAGGCATGAAGTTTGACAACATAAAGATATTAAATGGGAAGGTGATACATTCAAAAGAATGAACATATGTTTGGGGGCTTGCAAAGAAGGCTTCAGAGATGGGTGTAGGAATGTGATTGGTTTGGATGGATCTTTCCTAAAAATTGCACAATGAGGGCAGTTGTTAGCTGCAGTAGGTATTGATGCTGACAATTGCATGTTTCCTGTAGCCTGAGCTGTTGTAGATACGGAGAATAGAACCAATTGGGAATGGTTCTTAGAGCTTTTAGTAGTTGATATTGGGATGTTTAATGCTGGAGCTTGGACCTTCATTTCTGACAAACAGAAGGGCTTGGTAGACTCCCTAAGTTTGTTATGTGAGGGTGCTGAACATAGGTGCTGCGCAAGACATTTATAAAGCAATTTCATCTTGGTGCATAAGGGATTGACTTTGAAGAGCATGTTTTGGGCTGTAGCACGGGCAACAACAGTACCAGAGTGGAGAAGTGCAATGAATTAGATGAAAAATATGAATGAAGAAGCCTTTAAGTGGTTTAATGAGAAATCAGCATCACAGTGGGGCAGATCACATTTCCAGGAGTATTCAAAGTGCGACATCCTACTGAATAACTTGTGTGAAGCATTCAACTCTTTGATAGTTATGGTAATAGAAAAGCTTATCATCTCAATGCTTGAGAAGATAAGACATCAGCAAATGCTGATGATGAATGGCAAAAGGAAAGGTGTACAAAGGTGGGATCACGCTTTTGGTCCTAGAGTTATGAGTATCATTGAGAAAGCAAGGGCAGGGGTAAGGTTCTTGAAGGCTGATTATACTGGAAGTGAAAAGTTTGAAGTGAGCAATAAGGATGGAATGAGATGGAGTGTGGACCTGATGAAGCGTGTATGTGCATGCAGAAAATGGCAGCTTACTGGAATACCCTGTACGCATGCAATATCTGGGATGCTATCGAGAAACGTTGGCATATATGAGTATGTAAATGTATGCTACATCAAAGAATCTTACATGAGGTCCTACAATCAGTCATCCAACCAATGTTAGGTCCGAAGTTGTGGCCAGAGCTGGGGAAACATCCCCTTAATCCACCCGTGAAGAATAAACAGGCAGGCAGACCAAAGAAGCTGAGAAAAAGATCGCAAGTAGAGCTACCTGTAGGCACCAAAATGGCAAGAATTGGAATGAAAATGACATGTAAAAAATGTGGTGAGACATGCCATAACAAAAGAACATGTTCTGAAGTAGGTTCACAGCAGAACACAGAGCAGGATACACAACCAACTTAATAATAGGGCAAGGGAAAGAAAAATGCCTCTATACAACAGGGTACTCAGCCAACTTCATCACAAGGCAAGGGCAAGAGAAAGACTTCAACTCCCACCAAAAAATAAGAAAACTGGACAAAAAAGAATATAACCTTTTGTATGATGATCATTTTGAAGAAACTTTTTTGTATGGTGAAGTTTATGCGATTACATCTTTTGGTAGAACCAAATTGGATTTTCTTTTGTATGATGAATGAAACATGATGTAAAATAATGATGATGTAGAATGTGAATATTCAAATGAAAAAATGGTTCTTTTTGTCTTTAATTAGTAACTGTTTTTGGATCATTCTGTTCTGGGTGCTTCAGAAATGAAACAGTTTTGGAATTGGGACCGAAAGTGAAGAAATACAAATTCATACTCAAGTAAAGAATTGGGACATAAGATTAAACTCTGTAAAAGGTTTGGGACCTACTGTACAACTCATTCAAAACGTTTGGGTCTTTATATGGATTTAAAAACAAATGTTTGGGACCTACGCTGCGACTTAGTAAAAGGTTTGAGACTTTATGTACGACTTATTGAAAATGTTTTGAGACCTGCAATGCACCACCTACAACGGGTTTTCAAATGGATTTTTCCCATCATTTTGAAATATTTGCTCACAAAGGGAGGGAGGAAATTGTGTGAAATGGAAATTAGGGCAACACTGTAGAATGATAATATGTCTTACTTATTTAATGGAAAATAAGTTACAAGATAATAGACAATACTCGATTACTAACTCATGAACCCACCTTCCAAAACACAAACACAACATATGAGCTCATACACCTAACACAGATATATGCACAGACCCATTTCACAAAAAACCCACATACAAATCCTAATATCCAAGTCTTCTACGAACCACGGCTTCTTACACGTAAGGTGTTTAGTTCAGCTTCCATCTCTCTTCTAACACGTAGAAATTCAGGAATTATCTCCTTCGACTTGTCGCATAATTGTGGGTTGTACCAGTCAAAGAAGTTACATCCACCGATATCCGACGCCGTGGGCAAGTGAGAAATCTTCTTCCTGGGTTTAAGTTTTCCTTGAGGTCTTCATTTGCACAGGGTCGCCACATTTGCAAACATTGCTCGCCATATTCACACTTACGATAATGAGAGAAAGAGAGAGAGAGAAGAAGAAGAATATATAAGACCTAAAAATGAGGGAAATGAACAGTGATTAGCATACTGTAAAGGGAAAAATTGGAGTGGATGAAAATGCCCCTGTT